TCGTGTCATACCAAATATGCAACACAGTTATGCATACACAAATCTAATCTAGCATACATCATATGTCATGCTCTTTACATTAGAATAAATTCATGCTAACAAACGACGTGTCAGATATAGCACATCAGCACATAAATATGTTATCAAAAGCATGTGAGCATAACAAGGCAAATCAACAAAAGCATGAAATGCACCCAAAACCTGTCGTCCAAGGCATTCAAACCTAGGCGCTCTGATACCACTTATAACAACCCAAGTTTTTCAACTCGGTGCGTCAGTGATGACCCGAAAGTTAACCCGATAACGAATCCGAAATGCGGAAGTGAAAGATAAACCAAAGTCTTTAGAGATATAGATCATCCCCAAGACATTAATATGACCTTCCATGAAGTTACGAAACTCAAAGGAATAACCGGAAGCGAAAGCTAGAATGAAAGGGTCATATGGTACCTTGTGGCACCAATGACAACCAAGGGAACAAGATCTAGTTCAAACTAGACCAAGTGTGCCATAAAATGACTTAAACAAGATAAACAAGGTCCTGTGGAAATAAACAAATGGGGTTAACTTGTCTAGGCAACAACCAAACAAAACCCACAAGGCAGCATCATTTCAGTCAACCGAAATGATGCTTCGGTTTACCGAAGTGAGCCAAGAAAAGAAAGGAAATGAGCCTTCATTTCGGTCGACTGAAATAACAAACCGGTTGACCGGTTTGTGGCTCAAAATGGAAAATGACTACTAAAATTGGACTTTACTATTCAATTGAAATTCAAAATATGTGCCGATTGACCGAAACAAGCCACCGGTCGATCGAAACAAGCCAAAAATGTGAAGAATGAACCTGCTATGCACCAAAAATGAAGAGAAGTTCCTAAATCACAAATGGATCCTCCATAGTATGATCAAATTGCATTATATGCTATTGTGTGATGATGTGAACAAATACGCACGTGTATTATGACATTTTAAACATGCTACAATGACCTATGGCCTTATTACAATTCATTTACAAAATTTGACATACCAAGCCTCCAAGTTGGGAAAATTACATTTCAAGGGCAAAACTCAAACATGCTAACACTTCCATGTGAACAAGAATAAAAATAAAAAGACGCCGAATCTACAATTCACCCAAGGCAATTACAAATCCCTAAATCTTAAATCCTTTACCTAAAAAATAACCCCGGTAACTTTAGGATGAGTAACATAAATCTACTCGTAAGAGATGAGCATGTAAGGATCTAAAGTTTTACAAAATTATCACATTAATGAGATTACATTCAAAAGGTCATGCCACCTAACGTCTATGTCAAAGGTGAGACTCAGAGAGCATCTTAAGCTACCTTAAAACATTTCTGGCATAAATCACATCATTTATGCAACTCTAGAAAATATAAGTGCATATTACACAAAGCAATAGGATATAGATTCTGAAAGTCATCAACTTGAAATCTAAAATGCGAAGACAACCATAGTGGGTCATGCTACCTAACGTCTATGTTCCAAATGAATCTATAGGATCATTCCTAAGCTAAATTTAAATAATAAAACATAGATGTACTTAACAACATAAAAAACATGCGATGATTCCTTACAAATCATAATGCATAAATGTACTTAAACAACATTAAAAACATGTAATGATTCATTAAAAATCAAAAAGCATAAATGTACTTAACAACATTAAATCGCCAATAACCAAATTCACAAGTTACAATTAAACATTGGTTGTTAACTTAGAATTGAATACGAAATCAAATAGTGGAATACTTGGACATCAAATCCTGGATAAAGTCAAGACCTAAACGGTTATTTCGATCACTAACCCACTGAGAATACCACCCTCGTGCGCACTATAAAATAGGAAGAACTCATACCTCTCGTACTAAAGCCAAACACTAGCCATGTCTCTGTAACAATGTCTCAAGTGACTTCAAAATAAATAAGTTAATAACTTATATACGAAATATATAAAGCACAAAACTACATTCCATACACAAGTAAGTTGTAACCATACAATACATGCTTTAAATCCACAACTACTATAGGATGACAATGTCGAATGTTCAGAGTGGGATTCGTTACACGCTATAATAACATCACATGTCAAATCTTCAGTGTGCGATTCGTTACACGCTATAACAATATAATTCAATATTGCAAAATATAAACTGAAGAATCTAATACAAGTCTAAAATCATGATTTAAACATATAACCAATGTCAAACACATGATTAAATCATTAACACAATAGAAACGAAAATTAATTAAATAAACTAATTAATTTCTCTAAGTTTCAAATCTCAATCAAATGATCCCCAATTAACACATGTTAAACAACATAGCATGGTCTTTGCATATACTAATTCAAAAACTTACTTAGGTCATTGGAACAATAAAAATGGAATTTAATTAAATCGTGATAATCAAATCCCTAAATTCTAAAACAATATCAAATGGTCCCAAATTAATATATGCTAGTATGCAAGTCCTAGTCATCACAATATCAAGTTAAAAACTTAATTTAGCCAATAGACCCATTAAATAGATTTTAATTAATTCTTTAAATTAAAATCTCTAGAATTTTAAAATCATCTGAATGCACTAAAATTAAAGTATGTTAAAGAACATGCCAAGACTTAATTTAAAAGCATATCACAAGTTAATTTCATGCAAGGTACGTCCATGAGGATTAAACTATCACAAAAGAAAATTATTAACTAAAAATTGCAATACTTTATCAAATAATTCCAATTTAATATATGTTGACAAACATATCAAAGCATAATTTATTATCATGCCATAATTTAATTCCAAGCTATATACATCCTTGTAAATTAAATCTTATACAAAGAAATAAATATTACTAATTTTCTAGATTTGATACAAGGCATGCAAATAAGTTGTATAATCATGTAAATACTCAATACAACACATACATAATTCTAAAACACCCCTACCTCAAATTGAGATGAAAATCTCAAAAGCCACCAAAATGAAACCGCTCCGAATCCGACGATACTTCGCAGTTTTGTCGGGGATAACACAGTGAACAAGAACCCCAAGGAAGCCCCATAAAAATCACAACTTGACTTTAAACCTGAACTCAAGATATGGACAAAACGAGATTCCAATCGATGGAATCGAAGGCCTCGTCAAGGTGAATATAAAACACTAAGGCACTATAGCGTTTCATTGAAGGGAAGAAGCTCAAAAGAGGAGAGGGAAGGTGGAAGCCATGGCTGCCATGGAATCCGGCCAAGAGAGTGGAGAGAGAGAGAGAAATCTGACTTTTCAATTTAAGACCCCCTATTTATAGAAAAACTCAAAAAAAAGCCCCGAATGGGCCCCGTCAGGTCCAAAAAAGTGGAATTCGCGCAGACGCACTCAAACGGAAAAACTCCGTGAACGAAAAAGAACCAAAATGAGAAAAGATGAACAAAGAAAGAAACAGCGTCAAAAATTGAGTCCCGAGTAGAGAGATATGCCCCGAACAAGTTTAGCGACAATCGGGGCCAAAAACCCTGAAACTGGAGAAAAACAACCAGAAGGAAATTCTAAGAGTACCCGACTTGATGAAGAGTGAAAATGAATCTTATATGAGGATCCAGGCTCAAAATAAGGCATTTAGTAATAACTTTCATTAATTGCACAACGGCCCCTCCAAAAAGTGAAAACTGCGCTAATGACCTAGAATGAAAATATCTTCCAAAAATATTTTGTTAAAAACTCCTGAAATAAAATATCTTCAAAAGATATTAACAAAAAAACACCCTAAGAAAAGAAAATGTTTCTGAAGAATTGTGCATCCATGTTCCTATCGACACCGGGAGCAACCAGAGTACTTTTGTACAAAAGCAAAGATACGTATTTTGTGGAAACCACTTAGAATGAAGATACGTGAAGTCAAAAACCAACTCTAAACATGAAAAGTAAGGTTATGCCAACAAAGTGACAAATGGAGAAAAGACAATATGTGATGGCCCAAGTTTTGTAAACCCGGTGCGTTAGTGATGACCAAAAGATGACCCGATAACGGATCCAAAATGCGAAAGAGAGGTGAAACAATAGTCTCTAGAGATACAATGCGTCTCTAAGACACCAATGTGACCCTCAATGAGGTCATGGAACCCAAAGGAAAACAAATGCGGAAGTGTCGTTTCAAAACGGGACAAAAAGGAACCTAGGGGCAAAATTGTCATTTTTTAAAAGTGGATTCAAGTGCTATTGAGCATACCGTTGGGAAGACAATGAAAAATTAAACATAATGGACTCAAGAATTTCATTATTCGGAGTCTGGACGAAGGAAAAAGGTCAAAAACAAAAATAATGTCGTGGCGGCCCGACGAGGACAGCCCACTACTGCTGCAACTGAGAGTAAAAATGGGCATCTAAACGGACTTTTCTGGAAAAACTCAAAGAAGCCCCTAAAATCGAGTTTCCTACCCCGATCGCGGACAGAAATAAAAAAAAAAAAATGCATTATAAAATGCCCAGAATGCCCCCAAGAAAATCTGTTCAAGGGGGTAAAAATTTCTCCGAGCTGCTGCCTAAGGAAAAGAAATAGGGCTTCGGGAGGTTTTAAAATTGCCTGAATTGAAAATGCAATCTTAAAATACACCCACAAGACCCCCGAAAGTTTTGGATCGGTCGTCACACTTTTCAAAAAAAAGTCGATGAATAGTACTAAGTACATTTGCACTAAAAATCTACAAAACCTGGCAGCAAGGATTTTTTAGACAAATATGGATTTTTGAGGGCCAAGATGGCATTTTCTAGAAAAACACAAAGAAGAAACCCCCCTCAAATTTGAGTTTTCTACATGACACGTGAGGAAAAATGAAAAAAATGCATTGTAAAATACCCGAAATGCCCCTGGAATAGAATAGGGTAAAACTCATTAAAAATGCTACTTAGAGTTTTTGTTTCATCAAGGATGGTGTTGTTTGCCAAAGTGAGTATGCAAGTGCATGCAATATGATAAAATAGATGTACCAACTTGGCCTAAAGCCTCTTTACATTCCATTAACAAGTTTTAGCATACAAAGCCTCCATTTCTCACAAATAAGCTACAATGGCAATACTTAAGTTTTAGAGGAAACATACTTGTAACCTTTCAAGTTAATGGCCCTTGGCCTCATGTAATACATGTAAAATGCATTAAAAGGAGTGTACTTATGTACACTTTACATACGTAGAATCAAAGAATACAAGTTTGATACATAAAGCTACCAAACGATCCAAGGCAATGAAATCTTCAAGTCCTGAGTCCTGTACCTGAAATATGCCCCAGTATCGTAGGGGTGAGTAACATAAAGCTACTCGTAGGAGATGAGCATGCATCGACCTAGCATTTTATAATTTTATCACCTTAAGGTGAAACATATCAAAGGGGTTCATGCCACCTAACGTTTATGTCAAAATGAGACTCAAGAAGCATCCTAAGCTACCTTAAAACATTTATAGCATAATCACATTGTTCATGCAATTCAAACAATATGGAAACATGTTATACAAAGCAACTAGATATAGATTCTCAAAGTCTTCAACTTGAAATCCAAAATACAAAAACAACAAGAGTGGGTCATGCCACCTAACGTCATAGGATCATTCCTAAACTACATTTGAACATCAAAATACAATTTATGATATCAATGCAATTTAACCGACAATGGAACTTCCAATACAACGCACAAAGCATGCTTTCACAAAGTTACATCCTAAGCTCAAAATAGGAAATCAAATAAGGAACCATAAGTTACGATATCATCTAGTTATCAACTTGAAATGAAATACAAAATCAAACAAAGTGGATACTCAGACGTCACGCCGGATCAGACTGACAACATAGTTACTTTAGGGTTACTAGCCCATGGGTAACCTCCTTATGTGCACACTAGACTATATAGAGGGACAATCCCCTGTACTAGAACCAAATCCTAACCGTAGCCAACAACGACATCCCCAAGTTTCCAAAATCAACAAATTGTGCAACAACGTATGTATATATCAACATGTATAGACAAGATATCAACTATTTACCAAGCACAATCCAATTTTGGAAACTTATACAATACATGCACAAAGTCTACAACTACTATGGCGTGAAAGATGTCAAATACAAAGTGTGCAATTCCTTACACATAGCAACAATATATTCAATAAGGAAAAACATATTCTCATGAATATAAAAGTAACAACTATGTTATCCAATGCTCAAAAGTAATCAAGTGAACATACACCAAATCTAAATCCATGATTTAAATATAAAAACAACTTCCAAAATGCAATTAAATCCATGGAGTAAAAAAATAGAATTTAATTAGACATAAATAGTTAAATTCTCTAAATTCCAAGTTAATCCCAAATAACCTCAATTTAATATATATTGAAGGACATGTCATGGTCATCACATATATAACATCAAATGACAATTTAAGTGATTAAAGCACTTAAAACAAAATTAATCGAGCTAATTAATTAATTTCCTCTAGATTTTTAAACAATTCCAAATGCCCTCAATTTAATCTTTGTTAGAGAACATGCCAATGCCTATTTAAATACCACATTACAACTTGATTTCATACTTGATACAACTATGTGAATTAAACTTTCACTAAAGATAAATATTAAATAAAAGTTGTAATTCTTAATCAAATGAGCCAAATTTAATATATGTTAACCAACATATCCAAGCATAATTTCCTAGCATGTTACAATTCAATTCCAAGTCATACATATCCTTAAGCATTAAATCCTTTACAAAGAAGTTAATTAAAATTAAATTCCAAGATTTATACAAAACATGCATACAAGTTGTATAAGTATATATAATCATCAATACAACACAAATATAATCCTAAGACACCCCTTACCTCAATTTGAGATGAAAATCTCAAAAGCCAACAAAACGAAACGGCTCCGAATCCGACGAAACTCTTAGGTTTTGTCGGGGACAACACGATCTATATGAATCTCCAAGAAGCCCCATGAAAATCCAAACTTAGCCTAAATACCAAACTCAAAATTTGGTCAGAAATGGGTTCTAATAAGGGGTAATGGTAGTGCACGACGAAGCGAGCAACAAATGCAAAGGCCGAAGGATTTTCACTTAAGAAAAATAGGTTAAAGGAGGAGAGAGAAGATGGCAGCTCCATGGGCATCCATGGCTGCCTTTGGTCATGCAAGGAGAGGAGGAAGAAGAAGAAAATCTAATTTTTCTTCTTTAAGGCACCTATTTATAGTAAATCACAAAAAGTGCCCCGAAGGGGCCCCGCCGGGTCCAGAAAAGTAGATTTTGAGCAAACGCACTCAAATGGCAAAAATCCATGAACAAAAAAGATTCAAAATGAGAAAATATGAATAATAGAAGAAACGGCGTCAAAAACTGAGTCCCGAGCAGAAAGTTATGTCCCGAACAAGTTCGACGGCAACCGGGTCCAGAAACTCTAAAACTGGAGAAAAACGACTAGAACGAAATTCTATGAATTTACAAGTCAACAAAAAATGAAAATGAATCCCGTACGAGGATCCAGGCTCCAGACGAAAAATTTTGCAATAACTTTCGTTAATTGCACAATGGCCCCTACAAAAAGGGTTAACTGCGAAACTGCCCCAGAATGAAAATATCTTTCAAAAGATATTTTCTTAGATGCCCCTGAAATAAAATATCTTTAAAAGATATTTATGAAAAATACCCCAAGAAATGAAATTAATTCCAAAGATTTATGCATCCATGCCCCTATGGGCACCGGGAGCCACCAGAGTACTTTCTTGCAAAAGTAAAGACACGTATTTCGTGGAAACCACTCACGATAAGGATACGTGAAGTCAAAAACCAACTCCGAGCACAAGAAGTGAGGTTGTACCAAAAATTGACAAACGGAGATAAGACGAAATAGGGAAAATGACAGAATAGGGAAAATACGAAATAATGCATAGTGTCCAAAAACGAAAAATGTGAAAATGACTCGGTCCTCAAACGAAGTTGTCAATTCACATGAAAGAGTTTCAGAAACCAATTCTGAGCATTCGAGATGACACTAAGGGACGAAAAACCATCCATAGAAAAGAAAAGACAACGGAAAAAATTTATCCGCAAAATTTGAGGAAAAAGGGAAAAGGAAGAAAATGACCGGGTCATTACACAAAATAGGAAAAAGGACGAAAAGTGAATAGTGTCCAAAAAGTGAAAATGTAAAAATGACGCAGTCCTTTAAGGAAGTTGTTAATCCCAAGGAAAGAGTCTCAAAAACCATTCCCGAGCACTCGAGACGACACTATGTGACGAGAAACCGAACTGAGAAAAGAAAAGATCAACGAAATATATATATATATATATATCCGTGAAAATCAGAGAAAAGGGAAAGGAAGGAAAATGACCGGTTCATTACAGGTAATCACCCACATTTGTTTATTTTGAGACTTGAACCCCTACCACTAGGCCACTCTGATATGTTCAATAAGCAGCAATAATAAATGGGTAAAAATTTAATCCAAATAATAAGATTGTAAGTTATTCTTTTAACAGACAGAACACAAAATCAAAACAAAATTTCTCTTAAAATTGATAACATATATCCTTCTAATAAACAGGTAAATATAGCATCTAAATTTGATTCAAATATATACAATAGCAATTTAGCACACACAAAATAGAACAAAAGTAATTAAATATGAAATTTGTATGTCTGAATGTATATACAATAGCATAGTTACAACAAAATAAAAGCAAAAGTAATTAAATATGAAATCAATATAAAACACATCAAAATTTAACCACAAATTGACCTTTTCATTGCAAGATCAGTTTAGATTGAGAAGAAGGCTTTAATTACTCACTAAAAACATTCAACCATTCAACATAAATATATCCATTTTAACAGATGGGAAAAGAAAATCAAGAAATAAAACACAAGTAATTAAATAAGAAATAAAACATAGTTAGTGAACTTTTGATATTTTCCTACAGTTAGGTGATGTTAGTGTTGTGTTGAGAGAGAGAGCGCGCGCACCTTAGGCTTGTTGAGGTGTGTAGGGCTGGGACGAATGGCGGTGGCAATTCTGGACTTCTCTTTCGACGTCGGCAAGGCTGATATGCACAGAAAATGATACATATATATATATATATTAGCGAAATTTATATAAATGTTATCGATAAAAAAAAATACTAAAAATAAAATAAAATATGCTAGACTTAAACCACACCAAAAATGAAAAAGATCTAAAAATCGTAACTTAGACCAACAAAAATAGAAATAGGTAAAAGAATCTTACATTTCTTTTCTTAATCCTCGAGTCTCCTCCTCTGGTGCCACCGTTGCTCTGTCTGAAACTCTTACCTTGCCGGAATACTAGAGCTTCACTAAAACTCATGCCTTGCCACACTTGGTTCACCGGCGTCACCGCCCCACCCTAACCCCAATTTTGTACTACACATCAAAGCCCTAACCCTAATTTCGTAAATACATCAACAAAATTGAAACCCCAGCCTGTTCGTAGGCATCCTCTTTAAAAATTGAACTCCTCTGCCCAACTCTAACATCAAAATCGCATAGATGAGTCATGTATTCATCAAAAAAAAAAAAAAAAAAATGATTAAAATACTAACCCTATAGATATATGAAGATCAACAAAGAGAGAGTTTGTGATATGCCTTTCTTTCCCTATCTCTTTATTCAACAAACAGATTCATGGTCGAAGACTATTGGAAGAAAGAGAGAGAGTAGAGGAGAGAGAAACGTTGTGAAGACTTCGATATAAGAAAGGGGGCTCGATTAAGGCTGAAACAAACAGAGTAGAGGAAAACGGCTCTTGCAGTTGAGAAATGGAGATAGAGCAGATAAGAGACAGTTAAAATAGATTCATGGTCGAAGGCTTCAATAGTTAGCAAAATGGTAAATTAGAAACAAATGGTAAAGTTAGCAAATATAGAGCGTAATAAAATTAGAGCGAAATAATATTGGAGAGCCAAATTTTCCCGGCAATAAAAAATTTCACTAAATTTCGCAATTACCAGTGTTTTCTAACCAAACAGCGTTTTCTAACAAAACACTGGTTAAAGTAGATAATTACTAGCAGTCTTTAAAAAAGCGCTAGTAAATACCTAATTCGTTGTAGTGATTTTTAATTTTATCCTCTTTTTATCGTGCATACGTCCATCTCAATTCTGGAATTTGACTTTACTCATTTTTACCAAAGGTGAAATATCTTGAACTTCTTTGAGGTTTGTCCAAATATCTTCCAGCTGGAACTATTATCAAAATAGCGATCACTTCTCCTAAGGTTTGTCCAAATATGTCTCGGCTGACATTATTATCAAAATAGCCCTGACCTCCCCTGAGATTTGTCAAAATAACCTTTGGCACCCCTTGAAGTTTATCAAAATTTCTCTAACCATTCCTAACGTTAATTGATGGAATATTTTCTAAATACCCAAACTACCCTTAAATGAGAGAAAATGACTCAAATGACCTTGTTAGAGTACCAAATGATAATTTCAACCAAATTTAATTTAACAAAACTACCATTTCTTATATTTATCCTTTATGATTGTTTTTACATAGTTGAAAAGAATTTTGTGTTGGTAATTGAATACAATTTCTTTTTTGATCAATTGGTTTCTTGATGAATCAAATGATGAATTATTATTAGTCAATGTCTATTTTGTTGAATTATATGAATTGTTTATTGAATACTTTGTTTTGACAATAAATATATAAAATTATATGTTGGAGTATATGCTGAAATGGTTATTTGGTATATTAACAAGCTCATTTGAGTCATTTTCTCACTTAGTGGTAGTTTGGGCAATTATAAAATATCCTATTAACACTTTTGTGATAAAAACACTTGTGTGACGAAAATACCCTTTTTCTCTCTAGGGGGCAATTCACGGGAAACTAGGTTAGGGTTTTGTATGCAATGTGGGTGGTCGGTGAGGGGTGGTTTTAGCTATGGAAGAGGGTCAATCTTCCTCCCCTAATCTACCAACAGGGTCTTCGGGCTGGAGTAACTCTCCCAACAACCTGTCATGGTGTCGTTTCTTTATTGACTCGGCATCCGACTTTTATAACTTACAGTATCATAGTAACATTCGCGGGTTGAAGGTTGTAACGACCCACTCCACCACATGGTATGATATTGTCCGCTTTGGGCCTGAGCCCGCACAGTTTTGCTCTTGGGCTTACCCCCAAAAGCCTCATACCAATTGAAGATGACACACTTACATATAAGCACTTCACCTTTCCTCTACCCAGGCGATGTGGGACTGTGCACTCGTAACTCGCCAGTATGGTAGCCTGACAGTGTCTCTCGCACCCACCTATGGCACACCCGCCCACAAGGTCATCACAATCCACCCCCTTTGGAGGCCTGACGTCCCTGTTGGCACACTTCCGGCTGGGTCAGGCTCTGATACCATTTATAATGACCCACTCCACCACATGGTATGATATCGTCCGCTTTGGGCCTGAGCCAGCACGGTTTTGCTCTTGGGCTTTACCCCAAAAGGCCTCATACCAATTGGAGATGACACACTTACATATAAGCACTTCACCTTTCCTCTACCCAGGTGATGTGGGACTGTGCACCCGTAGCTCGCCAGTGTGATAGCTTGACAGTGTCTCTCGCACCCGCCCACGGCACACCCGCCCACAATGCCTCATTGTGATGACCTTGTGGGCGGGTGTGCCGTGGGCGGGTGCGAGAGACACTGTCAGGCTACCACACTGGCGAGCTATGGGTGCACAGTCCAACATCGTCTGGGTAGAGGAAAGGTGAAGTGCTTATATGTAAGTGTGTCATCTCTAATTGGTATGAGGCCTTTTGGGGTAAAGCCCAAGAGCAAAACCGTGCGGGCTCAGGCCTAAAGCGGATAATATCATACATGTGGTGGAGTGGGTCATTACAAATGGTATCAGAGCCTAACCCAGCCAGAAGTGTGCCGACGGGATGTCGGGCCTCCAAAAGGGGTGGATTGTGATGACCCAATGACATCGGGCCTCCAAGGGGGTGGATTGTGAGGACCCTGTGGGCGTATGTGCCTAGGGCGGGTGCGAGAGATACTGTCAGACTACCACACTGGCGAGCTACGAGTGCACAGTCCCACATTGCCTGGGTAGAGGAAAGGTGAAGTGCTTATATGTAAGTATGTCATCTCCAATTGGTATGAGGCCTTTTGGGGTGAAGCCCAAGAGCAAAATCGTGCGGGCTTAAGCCCAAAGTGGACAATATCATACCATGTGCTGGAGTGGGTCGTTACAAAGGTTTAGATATCTGAAGATGATGTTATTGTTAAGATTCAATACTGGAAATCCTCGATGGTGGAATATGTTATGGGTAAGAAACCATACTATCATCACTTCAAGTCCTTTGTCGAGAATCGATGGTAAAAGAATTTCACATTAGTGTATCTTAAAGATGGGTTCTTCATGGTACACTTTCAAAATGCTGATGATGTTAATAAGGTTATGTCACGTATTCACACATTTGAAGGTAGGCTAATTATTCTCAAGAGATGGTGCAAGAACATTAAACTGGTCAAAAAAGTGTTAAAAATCAATCCCGGTTTGGTTACAAATTTATGATTTATCGGTGCATTATTGTAAGGCTCAAGTAATCTCTATGATCTTTTCTTCTTTATTCAAGCCTATTTTTATTGGTGATCCCTCTGCTCATAGGGATAAAGGTAGGTTTATGCGAGTAATGGTGGAGGTAGATGTTAAAGCTGAATTACCAGATTATATGGTGGTCGATATATATGGTTGTGATTGTATTGTTATGTTTGAGTATGAATGGAAACCTCAGCTGTGTACTCTTTGTCAATGTGTTGATCACTTGGCTGATATGTGTCCTCAAAAGATATTGATAGCTAAGCCAAATAAGAGTGTAGGTAAGTGGGTTGTCAAGAAGAAAGGAAAACTTATTGAGTGTGACGTAGATGAGGTGTTTGATAATTTGCCTGAGAGAGTTGCTCATGTAAAAGAAATTTCTCAGAATATATCAAATACTTTTGAGATTCTACATAATGTGGAAGATATGGAAGAGATACCTACTGTGAAGGGAATTGAGGATATGTGATACCTTCGAATTTCCATGTGTACGTTGGCCAGGCCCATACCTGAAGACCCGGGGATATCAAAACAATTATACAATAAACGAACAAAGAATACAAGAGGGAATAAAATAAAATAAATAATAATACTAAAAGAAAACTAAATTAATAAATATACTAATCTTTGATATAAAATTTTCAAATGCTAAATAATGTATCTCCAACATACAACTCGGGAATCCAAATATCACGGACCCCTATAAATCTTATATTGAAAACAATGCCTAAGTCTACTGAACAATAAATATATGAACTAAATCAGCTAAGCAAAGATGAACTCCTATGTCAATGACACCAGAAGAATGATGATTACTGGTCTCTGATCTGCACGAACAACCTCTACACCTGGTACTGATAAGGACCTGAACCTATGAACAAGTCATTTCCACTATAACCCAAATAGAGACCCGATAAACGATGTAACCCTAGCCAACTCATTCAATATCTACCTAGTCGATATATATATATATACACACACACACTAAAAACTCTCATTGGACTAAGGCAAACTCAACTGGATAGTAAGATACTCATGCAAAGCGTATACAAGGTGGTCACGAGTGCTCCTTATACCAAGGCACATACATCCCTATATCCAACTACCTATCTCAACCGACAATATACGCCTCAGTCCGAATCACTGATCCCGAGACATCAAGCTCATATCATGGTATGCATAATAACTAGCCATATCATAACAATGACACACCAAATCTAAACTACTGTAACTATATCCTAAAAATGGTTCAGGAACATATAAAATAATATAGCCATACAATGGCATGACATAAATTGAATCTAAGCTTTAACCAGCTCACCCACAATAAATAACACACAGTCACATCTTGACAATGGTATAAAACATAACCATATCCTAACAATGGTCCCCAAACAATCCACAAATATAGATCATGTGTAAGATCATATAATACAGCTATGAACATGATTATAACCATAATATCAAGTACTGAAATTATAACAGAAATTTAAAATTTATACAATATAAAAATAACTTATAAGTTGTGACGTCCCAGATTCTTAGATACCGGTGCGTTAGCGAGTTACCCCGAAAGCTGACCCGATAACGGATCCCAAATGCGGAAGCAATAAAAGAGAAGAGGTATCTAGAGATGAATACCATCTCTAAGATGTCAAATTAACCTTCTAAGAAGTCACGAGACTCAAAAGGAAATGAAAGCGAAAGCTAAAACTGAAATGAACCGAAGACAAAGACAGGGGTAAAATGGTCATTTTACCCTAAGAGAAGGAAATTTGACTCTCAACAAGTCAAATGAAATCAAAAGTATCCAATAAAATCCTTTGGTAACGTCATATAAAGTTCTAAGGTCATTGGAAGTGAAATCCCACAGAAACCTTAACCCAGTTCGAACCAAATCCCAACACTATTCCACTAAAATGATTATATCTCTTAGTAGGAAATTAATCTGAAAATTGGATTGCTACAATTGGAAAGCTGACTCAAAATTCATGAATATAGACTCAAGAATCACCTAATTTGGACTTAAAATGAGTGAGTTATGGCTGTTACAAAATAAGGTTGCAAAGTTGTCCAACTTACTGGGTTTTCTTTACATCGCGGGCGAACGCCAAAACCTATAGGCGCCCGCCAAATTACTGAAGTGCTACCCACGGTTTGGAAGTGGACCCTCAGGATGGTTTCCTTAGACCTAAATTGATTATATAGTACTCAAATATACTCTATAGAACCTCGGAAGTCCCGAAAAGGTTGGTTCGGTTCTCGAAAAAACATTGATGAATAGTGACTTATGACAAAAAAGAAGAACTTTTG